TGGATTTTAAAAAAAATTGAATGCAACTTCCACCATCTGCTATGATGGAATTTGAACCTAGGTCCCTCAGATGTTACATGGGTCTCTGGATTATGAGTCCAACACCAATACCACTACCTCCTTTATAGAGTGCTATTTTAGATCTCAGGATGGTCCAAAGCATTAACAGACAATAAGCACTTCTGAAGTGTAGTCAAAATTATAAAGTGGAAAAATGAAACAAAAAATAATGTGTAGAAAAGGTTGGACCAATCAAGACAGGATGTAAGAAATTAATGTTAGAATAATTGTTTTTACTTTCCACATGCAAAGAAAGAACGTGCATTTATGTAGCATCTTCCATGACTTCAGAATGATCCAAAACACTTTACAGTCAATGAAGCACTGTTGCCACTGCTTTATTTAGGCTGATTGGTGTAAATGTGACGTACCTTCTATTACATATTTGGCCATTTTAAAATGTTAGTATTTTTACATTATTCCACTATCTCACAAAATTATACCAACTGCAGCCACTAATTACTGTAAACTGTAAATGCACTCCATTTCAAAGGGATTAAGTACACAAGTTAAAAGGCTGACTCTGTATATTTAGATAGTGCTAATATTGATAGTTAGAGTGAGAAGGGGGTTAACAGAGTACATTCAGAGCCTAAGAAAGGTGTTGGTCAGCTCAGTTAGCTGGACGGCTGGTTTGCAATGTAGAGGAATGCCAACAGCATGGGTTCAATTCCTGCACCAACTCAGGTTACCATGAGAGCTCTCCTTCTCAACACCTGAGGCATGGTGACCGTAGGTTAAACCACTGCCAGTCATCTCTCTCTAATTAGCAAACAGCCCTGCAGTCTGGTAAAACAATGGTGACTTCATCATGCCTGAATATCATGTAATATTAAACAAGAAATAACGCAATGCTAGATCTCATAAATGATCTGAAGCTAGGGTGAGGCATGAACCATTGTAACAAAATTAGGTTCAAAGGCAAAACGGAGAAAGAGACGAAAAATGAAACACCTCAGTGTATAAAAAAATCACATTAAAGGGGAATGTTCAGCTAACAACTCAGATAAATTGAAAAGGAAAAAAATGTTCATTTTTGATTGCTTGTCAAGCAAATATGTACCTATTTATACTCATCTATTTACCTCAGCAACGTCCAGTGGATCGATTGTCCAGTTGTTGGAAAACCAATGTATTAGGGTGGGGGTGGGAAAGGTGTTGCTGTGTCCTGATATTAGCCTTGATGCTACAAGGAGGTGCCTAGTGGATCATCACTGACGATGATTGCTGGGTAGTCAGCTACAAACGCCATTGGACAAGCTGACATTGTTTGAATGGGCCAAGAGAAAACATTTGAATGCAATTACTTGCCTGAGGTTGAGTGGAGAAAGCCTTTGCCATGTGCGAAGGTTAGAAATGACAGTTGACCTTACTAGGAAGCATAAACTTCCATTTATACAGCAAGTCTTTCTTTGAGGAAAGCTATATCCTGTTCTAATCTGTCAAAATGAAAACTGACCTGAAAATACACTCGTGTGTATCAGTTCCCTTCCTGCACATGACAAACTTCAAAAAAAAAGTGATCACAAGCTCAGGTCAGTGCAGTTGCCGAAATGTAAGCACTTTGTCTACAGAAATAGCAACTGATTTTTGTTTTCAGGAATTCATTACTGAAACAACTCTTATTTCTAAACTTCTCCATAGAATGCTATATATAAAGATTGCGCCTGGTGTGGAATGACCGACAGCAATAAGATACTTTTGGATTACATCCAGTCTCTAATTTTGATATTGAATAGACTCGCATCAGGAGGGGCTGAGTGCAGGTTATTATTTTGATTTGCCGAATTCTAACATTTTAATATTTAGCAACTAACTACTTTTGTCTTTCATGACTATCATTATAAGTATGTGCTGCTGTAGGTTATCGTCCAAATGCAGCACCCAGACACGTGACAGCCTTAGAAATTTGTTATTGTAAATTTTCAGATGCATGACCTGTGGCATGGACACAAACCAAGTTGAAACAGTAAGGCACCGAGATCAGTCTAACCCTGAGTTTCAAGATATATTAACATGAATTGGCTGAGGTCCAGGTGCGTTCTACACCTCTAGTAGTTAATCGTCCAATTTTACACTGTTCAACTGAGTTATGCCAAGATTATCTGATTATTATCAGGCTGCTATAGGTGGGAGCTTGGTGCATGCAAACGTACCTCCTCATTTCTTGTATTACATCAAGAAATGTACTTAATTGGCAGAAAAAGGCTTTGGTCTGTTCTGAAGTGCTGCACAGTGCAATGTGGATGCAAAGTTTTCTTTTTCACTAGTCTCCTGTCAGAGCACACCATCTAATTTATCCTGATGAAGGAACTGTATAAATATAAATATTGCAATGTAATCAGTAGATCCATGACTAAAAATACATTCCCTTAATTCTTATGAGCAATTTACATGCTGTTCCTGTCCATCAGCAAATCGTGTTATGGAGCTTTTCTGCCCAAGAGGGCAGATAGGGCCATGCATTAGCATCTCATACAAGAATCTCTGACCAGGCCACAATCCCTCTGACAGCATTAGCCCTATGCCTTGTGACTAATAAAGGAAGACGTGCATTTATATAGCACTGCTCATGATCACTAGCTGTTTCAAAGCACGTTGTTTTTAATAAAGAAAGATTTGCAGTTGCAAAACACTTTTCACAGTCGCCACAACAAAAATGCTTTGTATGCGGGTGAAGTGAAGTCACCACTGTAATATAGGAAGTGTAGCAGCTAATTTACACTCAGAAACGCAATAATTGATAGCAGCCTGATAATCTGTATTTTTAGATGGATAATTGTTGACCAGGGCACTGGGGAAACCTCCCCTGCTTTTCTTTGAAGTAATGTCATGGAATCTTTCACACCCACCCAGCCTGACCAACAGCCCCCAGTTTTAACATCTCCTCTGAAAAGTCAGATCGGAAAGGCAGCAATTCCAGCAGCAGCGACGGTATCTACGGCAATGGTGTCAGGAGCAGACAGCTGAGGTCTTCCCAGACAGCAAGATGAGCAAAGGACTCATCAAAGACTGCTGAACTTTTAACTTATTCCGTTATCTTCCTAGTTTAAACTATGAAAGACTTTAATGTAAACTGTTACCTTTTTTTTATTTTTCTACTAATCTATGAAGTAATGCTCAACTTTTTAACTCTCGTTTCTCTTACTACTTTGTACCTAAGCTTTCTTTTTGTACTTAAGTACCTTGGTACCTAAGATGGTGCCATGTCATAGAGTCATAGAGACATACAGCACGGAAACAGACACTTCGATCCAATTCATTTATGCCGACCAGATATCCTAAATTAATGTAGTTCCATTTGCCAGCATTTGGCCCATATCCCTCTAAACCTTTCCTATTCATATACTCATCCAGATATCTTTTAAATGTTGTAATTGTATCAGCCTTCACCACTTCCTCTGGCAACTCATTCCATACACACACCACCTTCTGTGCGAAAAAGTTGCCCCTTAGGTCCCTTTTAAACCTTTTCCCATTCACCTTAAACCTATGCCCTCTAGTTTTGGACTCCCTTACCCTGAGAAAAAGACCTTAGCTATTCACCTTACCTATGCCCCTCATGTTTTCACATCCCATGGGCCCATCTGTCCATGTCCAATGAGATGGCCTAGGAATGTAACTTGGACTTTTTTGAATTTGCTCTTAGCCAGGTTTATCACTAAGCACACCTTCTGAAGTCTACCAAATAATTATGATAGATGCTTCAAATGTTCCTTCCATGTGTGACTAAAAATCACCAGATTGTCTATGTATATCAAACAATTGAGTAATCCCGAAATGATTTTATTGGCTAGTCTTTGAAATGTAGCTGGTGCAGTTTTCATACCAAATGGCATAACTTTAAACTGGTAAAGTCCATTCAGTGTCACAGAAGCTGAAATTTCCTTCACTCTGTCAGCTAAAGGGACCTGCCAGTATCCTTTGAGTAAGTTTAGGTTCAAAATAAAAGTTGCTTGTCCCACTTTCTCAGTACAATCTTCCAGCATGGAATAGGATATGAATCAGATTCCATAACTGCATTGACATTGTGGTAATCAACACAGACTCGTTGGATACTGTCCGATTTTGGCACCAACAATATGGGTGAACTCCATTTGCTGCAACTCACTTCAAATATATTGCCTTTGAGCATGCTTTCAATTTCTTTTTGAACTTGTGTCAGTTTTAGAGGGTTAAATCTATAAGGACATTGCTTAATTGGAATGGCATTTCCAATATCTACATCAGGCATAATCATGTTTGTGCTTCACAGCTTATTCCCATATATCTCTCCATGTGATTATAATAACTTTTTCAGGTCATTTTGATTTTCTTCTGAAAGGTAACTCAATAATATATCCCAATTTTTGAGAACTTCATTATCCAATTTAATTTAAGGAATATCAAATTCAAATTTGTCTGCATTTAGTTCTTCACACTGAATTGCAACAAGTACCACATTCTCTTTTTTGTTTTCTTCCTCATCAAAATACAGTTTGAGCCTATTCACATGACACAATCTTGAGTTTTCCTTCTATCTGTGTGGCAACATTATACACTTTTCACTGTACTCCTGTACTTAAGTACACTTGACAATAAAGTTTAAATCTAAAAATCTGCATGCAGCATATCCAAAAGTGCCCTCTTAGTACTGCATTGGAGTGTCAGCCTTGAGTACTGTGCTCAGGCCCCGGAGAAAGACTTGAACCCAGGAACTTGTGGTTCAGAGATGTGTGTGCCACTGACTGAGTCATAGCTGACATAAAATGAGAATGAGGTACTATTTGAAGTTTAGTCACAAGTTGTGATGTCGGAAATGTGCTCCAGTCTCTGGAGGAGGACCTGAATCCTCCAAATTGAGAACAAGGGTGCTATCAGTGAGCCACAGCTGCTGCATTCAGACAACAAAAATAGCTCATAAATGTTGTTTTGTGAGACTCTTAAGGGCAAATAGGGACTCTTAGGGGCAAATAGGGAAGTAGTAGGGCAGGCACCAATCGGCGACAGATCAAACACGGAACTGTGAAAGTAATAGCACTGTCGACTGCACAAAGGATCTGCACGTTTTAAAAGTGTTTATCTGTATCCTACTCATGAGGATGAAGCTTCCCACTTCAACTTTGCCTTGAAAGTAGAAGATCTGGCTGTTGAGGTTGATTGAATATGCAATGTTTTTCAGAGGAACAGTGTTTGACATTTTGAGGTGAGCACTCTGGATTAAGGAAGCAAAGTTATCAGATCTACGCTGCTGGTTTTACAAAACAGGTGGCACTTCTGTTTAAGAATTGATTTGTGCTGATTGGTGGTGAGACAAGAAAACTCACGAAAGAGCTTCAGGCGATTTCTTAAACTTTTTTCCAGACAGGATAATGGCCTAGATCAGTGTTGGCCATGAGACACGTGATTAATTGGGAATCCGGATGGGGCTAATTGGATTTCTGATTAGTAAATAATGCGTTGGCAACAGGATGGCAATTGACACATTAACCTGCTGAGCATGTGAACTTTAACCTTTCTGCACATTGCTAAATTGCAGGATTCCAGGGAAAAGGCAGGAGATTTATCCTAAATCAACATGCTCAGAGGGCTGGTATAAGCAAAAGGGGCTGAGTGGCCTCTTTACACACTGTAACAATTCTCTGAAGGCGGAAAACAGCCTGAAAACTATTTTGATCTTTGTGGCTCCTTTAATTCCTTGGTTAATGAATGGTGGTAAATACCTGTTTAGTAAATATGTGTGTGTCAATATATTTATCTGGATTGTGTATAAGATGTATGAATTTAAGCAGAGTACATCTGTTAAAACAGTGCCATGGGGTGAGTTCTGAAGAAGTATCAAATGGGACTTGAAACATTAACTTTGTTTCTCTGTCCACAGATGCTGCCTGACCTGCTGAGTTTCTCCAGCATTTATAGTATTTTGATTTTATACTAGTCATTAATTTCTACTGAGTTTGGAAGTGCTACATGTATAGAATAGCAGTTTTGTGGAAACCAAGTGCTGAGGATGTAAAAGTGAAACAGATTTCAAACCATTGAGAACTATTTTCAGACTAACTTCCAGAGTAGCTGCTGATCATAGATTGATGACTAAAAGAAGGTCCCAGGATATCAGACAAAGTAACAGTTAGTGGGCCTTCAAAGTCAGATTTTGGAATGTTCCGTGGCTTGAAGAGGAAGAGACAGTTTTTCAAATTGCTCTGGTAGATTTTGTTTGACAATCTATAGTGAGGTCAGTTGTGTAAATATAATCACTCATATCCTCCATTGGTCTGCTGGAGCTATGTCGGTCTGTGAAACTCAATATGTTTAATATGCTTATTCAATATAAACAGCCTACTTCAAATATTCTGGAGGAAACTTTTCCGAAGACTCTGTGCTTCTGTAACTGCCTGCCCTTTCCTGTGTTCTACTTAATTGCTGCTGACTGTGCAACCATTTGAGTGACATACATAATGTGCATGTGTGACAGTCAGCCTTTCCTCTCAGAACACTGGGATGTAAAATTAAATGGCCTCTAATGCACTGGCAATAAGAACCGTTTTTTCTTACTTCCTTCTTTTCTGTTAGCCAAGTCTTTGAAAAGTATTCATTTCTGGGTATTTGAGGTTTATTTACAAATGCAGTGATCCTGATAACCTTGTATTTTTCGACACTTCTGAAAACGAAACATGATGCCTGTCTTTATTCACAGTCTGCGTCAAATTAAAGAAAGATCCCCTCCGCCACTCCACCCCATTGAGAAACAACAGGTCGTGTCCAGTTAGTCAGCCAAGTGAACTTCTATAAGCAAGATATGAGCTCTGTCTGGTATATCACACAGCACAGCAGGTAATCACTCAGTCATAGAGTTCTATAGCACAGGAAAAGGCCATTAGGCCCATCAAGTCTGTACCAGTCCAAAACAACCACCTAACTATTGTCATCCTAATTTTCCAACACTTATTTTAAACCAGAGATGCCGGAATGGACATAGGAAAAGTACAGGAAGCTCATTTTGCACCATTAAGCATGAACAAAAGCAGCCATTTTAGTCAAATGGTTTTGGGGTTGGGGTTTGGTGGAATTCAGTCATAGTCTATTGCAGTCGAATGCTTTGCCATTTGGTGTTTTGTATTCTTCTACTGACTGAAAAGTTGTATAAGTTTCTATCTGTAAAATTTTTGTTTTCATGTTAATGCCAGGAATTAGGCTATAAACCTCTGTTGGCTCTTAGTTCTGATCACCCTAAAAAGTGAAAAATTGGAACCAATACCTCAGAACACCTTCCTGCTTGAAAGCAGATGTTTGAAGAAATGTGTTTGTTAAGGACACAGTAATGCCATGACTTGCCACAGTCAGGTCGCCTCAGTTGTAAGTACTTTCAGGTTCAAAAAAGTTACTAAGCCTCCATGCGGAACAGCAAGGTCATGCAAAATCCAGGCCTTGGAGTTTTCACTGCCCGCTACCTGGTCCAGTCTGTCTGACCTTCACAGGGGATGGTGGAGAGGTTAGGTGGCCATCTTACTCTTGGGCCTCTTGAGGTCCCTGTCAGTTACTGCAAAGAATAAACAACAGTACAGCACAGGAACAGGCCTTTCAACCCACCAAGACTGCGTTGACACATAACGTCTTTAAAAAACCTTTTGTCTCCATGCGGTCCGTATCTCTTTCTTCCCTGCCTATTCATATATCTGTTAAGATGCCTCTTAAAAATCACTGTTGTATTTACCTCCAAAGTTTGATTAATGTCCATATCCTGCTGCTGTACTCGTGGCAGAGAGAGGGGGTATGCCTGTGAGAAATCCTGAAGTTTCAACAGCACAGGCTGCTGTCAGGCAAAGGCGAGGGAGGGATCTCCTTTTGGGGTTTTCCTAGTTCGGCCTATCAAGGTGGTTCTCCCTTTGACGTCTTTCCCCCAGACTCTTGAACCCAACCCTTCACAGCTTCAACCAACCCATCATCCCCACTCACCCTCCCATTTTGCTGTGATCTCTGACTCTGGCCTACCCCCAGCATTGATGATGGCCTTTCGTCCCAACAGTGGCTACTGGGGGTGCTTCTGGGATTGTAGAGCAAAGGGCCAATGTGATTGGCTGACAGCTGTCTAAGGCAGGAATTCCTCCTCAGAAAGCAGCAGAAATCTTTACTCAATGCAGTTGATGTGGCACCCAGCATTAGATTGTTGCAGGATAACCCTTGAGATCATAAGTGATTCCTCCCTGACTTTTGAGCCAGGATGGGATGGTGACCGTGGTGTCCCTTAGAATCCAGCCAATGGATTAAGTTCATGCATAAGCTTGCTGCCCAAGTTGGTATCATGTGGAGAAATTATGGCCCAGTTATATCTTTCTAATACTGTATGAGACTGACATTAGCATGGACATCTCATTCTAGTCAACATAGCTTTTACTATGGTAATTCAAGAAAAAGGAGTGGATTACTAGTTAGGGAAAGAAACAAATAAGGTCACTTCAAAGTGATTCTGAAATAGTGCCAAATTCTTGTCTGAATGGGAAGCATGGCAAGACATCAACCACAAAGACACAATATACTTTGAGGTATGTCATATATCATGATGTTGAAAATAAACACAGGCTCAGGAGCTCTTATCAAAGAATCAAAACCAAACTGCTGTGACAAAAAGGTACTGTTCAATCCATGGTTACTGTTCTTCAGGAAAAAAAAGAGGCCTAAATATTCATCAATGAACTCGGGACTGATGATGAAATGATTTCCCAGCTGCTTTAATCAAAGGATGAACAATGATTCTATCACCGAGTGACTGTAGCATGGGCCGGTTCTGCAAAACATTTGCAACATTCACTGAATTCATTTAAATAAATTCAGAAAGTTGCCACTGTTTTACCAGACCCTAGGGCTGCCCACTCTTTACAGAGAGAGAGAGAGATGACTGGTGGTGGTTTAACCTGAAGATCAACATGCCTCTGATGAGGGGAGACATTGGGAAGGAGAGTCCTTCATTGTAACCTCAGCTGGTGACAGGAATTGAACCCACACTGTTGGCATCACTGAATCACAAACCAGCTGTCCAACCAATTGAGCTAACTGACCCTTAAAACAAAACTGCTCTTCTTAAGAGTTATTGCCCCCTACAGTGGTGAAAGTCAAGTTGATCTTCATTGATAGGAAAGACCTACAAGACATTGTTTTAATTTTTTGAAAACGAGCAATTCTAAAGCTTTTTGACAAAGGTTCAGGCCAGTCAGTTTGTATGGCCAAGTGGTAGGTGATGCATTTACAGAGTAAACACTTAAAGAATAGGTACTTTATGAATAGACATGGGCAAACAGGGAGATCCAAGGGGTCATTTACCAAATTGCATGGAAATTCACTGACTTAGAAGAAGTAATACCAAGTATTATTATTTTATTTGGAGCTTCGAGTCCAGCGGGAAAGAGATAGAGTAATCTTAAATGCATGAACATTTAAAATAAAGAAACACACCGAGATGCAAGGATAGAGTGGATACTGGGAATAAGTGTGGATTTCTTTGATAAACAGTTTACTCAGAAACAATGGGCCAAGTGGCTGCTTTCTGGAAGTATCTGTTGTTTTGCATTGCTATCGCCTTTACAACATTAGCATGTTTTAATTGGTGTTAATATTTTCACTTTTATGCTTTTAACTAATGTATTACGATTTTTGTAGATGCATGATGTGGAATTCAAAAATGAACTCCTGCATCCCAGTGACCTGCTTGGCAAGGGAAGACTATTGAAGGATGCTTCTGCAACCATGGATACAGTGCTCCAGCCTGGGTTGCATCGAGTGTCATTAGTAGCAACACACTCATTTACTAAGTTGCTGAAGTTGCATCGAGAGGTCTTAGTTGGTTGTATCAAGAACACAGAGTGTGTGCTGAATAACCTGATAAAACATGAATACATTTCCACTGAAGAGGCTGAGATGTCCCAACAGCATCCTACGCAAGCAGCAAAGGTAATGACAGATGTTTATCACCTCATTGTTTGAGAAAGAGACAGAAAATGCCAGAAATACTCAAAAGGCTTGGCAGCTAAGAATGCACAGTGCTGCTTGGCTGAGAGTATAGATCTCTATCTGAGCATGGAAACAACTCTAGGAAAACTGTGTTTGACTTGTAGCTCTGGCTGTCTGATTTATTCTGCACAGAGTTTATTTATTCAAGACAAAGAGATTTGTAGTTTACGCTCTTAAGACTTTAAAGGTCCAGGATGATTTACTCTTTCTTTGGGCTATTGTTTAAAAAAAAAATGAATGCTTGCTTCTAAAACTTCTTTTTAACTCATCCTGTTGTCACCACGGGGTTCATTGGCCATTTCCAGTGTTTCACAGGTTGGCATGAAGGATATGAGAGGCCATGGTGGAGAGATGAAGGGGCATAGTTTGGCATGAATGATATGAGGGCCATGGCTGTGGAGAGGCATAGCCTGACAGGGACAGTATGAGGTTCCATGGCGGTTTGGATAGTGGCGTAGCTTGACATGGCGGTATGGATAAGATCTTTTGAACATACCTTTCCAAAAGATTCCTTCATCCAGTCTCTGGTTTGAAGCTTCTAATATTCAGTGAAACACAAGTTCTTTTAAAATCTGTCCCAACTCCTTGAATTCCGGAGGATTCATGGAATCTTCTCGATTTCATAGAAATCCAAGCCCAACTGTCTACGTTCAGATCCAAGGGCATAGGTGAGGGTCCAGGCCTAGCATGAGCAGGGTCCTGCAATATTTTGAAGGGACGGTGAATCTTTGAGTATAGGAGATGATGTGGTAACACTGGTGAGGGTAGTTCTGGAGCAAGTGCTGCTGTTATAGGGAGGAGGCATGCAGGGATATGAGAGATCTTTGAAAGAGAATCTGGGAGTAATGGGCACAGTTCATGGCTCAGGGAACACGAGGAGCACAAGTTAAGGATTTGTCAGCATAGACTGGAGCAGGAAGTTTTGCAGTTAATTCCATTAGAAAATAAAATTGAACAGGTTGGAAAATGTGCATGGTCTCAAACCTTCTCCATTCCTGGTGGATGGGTTAGGTTAAAACTATCCTAGTAATGCCACATATAAGAAAGAAATAAAACTTTGAGAATTTAATCTTTGGTTTCAACTAAAAAAAACCTCAAAATCCTGAAAGGAGTCAAGTTTTTTTTAATATATCTTTTCACTGCAAAAATGATATGCTGGGAAAGTCTGCAAAACCACACATACTTTGAAGACGTAGATGTGATTGGTGGGTCAGGCCAACTCATGATTGCTTAAAATATCTATTTGAGGCCCAACTCTTTTTGAAATGGGTCAGAAGTCACACGACACCAGGTTATAGTCCTTTGTCAGACTTCACCTGATGAAAGAGCAGCGCTGCAAAAGCTTGCGATTTCAAATAAACCTGTTGGACTATAACCTGGTGTCATGTGACTTCTGATCTTGTCCACTCCAGACCAACACTGGCACCTCCCCATCTTTTGAAATAGTCAGAGGCCTTGCAAAGGTGCTTTAATGAAGAATTTGAAATCTGGAAAAGGCAACTCATTGTGTAAATCATGTCGTTGTGACATTGGTAAGTTCATTGGTTTGAATGAAACGTTTAGAACTTTGTTCAACAGTATTTGGAAATTTTGAGGTGTTGAGGGGCAAGCAAAAGCACAAAGGGATTTTCTTTTAGTAAAGGAGTTTGAGTGATTTCTTTAGGAAAAGGTTTTATTTGTGAGATTTCTTTTTTGCATTACATATGTAGACATGTTTGAGATTTTTTGCATGATAAGTGTTCACTTAAAAAGTGTTACAGATAATAGTGTTTGTGAACAGGAGATTTTCGACTGATACAAGGAAGCACTGAAACTCGGGTCACCCTGGGTCTCCAATCCTAGTTTCAGAGGAAGAAATTTAATATGTGTTTGTATGACAAAGTAAATTAAAGCTGTCAATATCTCATGGGTAAAAGCACAATTGGATGTAGAATTGCAAAACAAGTGATCCCTGGCTTGACTGATTCGTAATTGGGAAGGTCAAATGTCGAGTTGAAGTCACTGGATGAATAATCCACAATCCCAGACTAATACCATGGGAGACAACAAGGTGCAGGGCTGGATGAACACAGCAGGCCAAGCAGCA